AGTAGCGTGATCCTTCGTTATAACCTCCTGAGCAATCTCAGTGTTGTAATGAGAAACGCTGCAGCAGGGTTACCTTTCTATATCAGAAAAGAAACGGAAAACAATAGTTTTTGTATCATTTTCCAAACAAATCCCAGTGGATTCTGGCGCATGAAAAGATCCTTTGTGTCCATTTAGATCAGGGGTAGGCAAACTCTGACCCTGCAGCTGCGGTGCAACTACAAATCCCATTAGGCATTGCAAGGACTCTGACAGCCATAGGCATGAATCTCAGATGCAGCATGATGGGATTTGTAGCTTCACCACAGCTGGAGTTTGCCTGCCCCTGATTTAGATGTTGATGAAACCTAAAGAATATGTCACCGAAATGACACTTGGAAGGGTATAGCTGAGATTTGGCTAGACAATCACACAAGCAGTAAGTGAGACTTCTGAATACCAACAGTGTACAGAATACATCCAGGCCTACAATGACAGAGGATTTGTTTTTCTGTCCATGCAGTCCTGAGATTTTCACATTTCTGCCACATAGCACATTGCTGCCTGGCAAGGCATGATACTTGATCTTTCTCCGCTACAGTTATGTAACACTTACAGGTCATGTCCCGTCCCCCCGTCCCCTGCTGTTGACTGGATAGTGAAAGGAGAAGCAGCAGACTGATGAGCTAATCTCTGTCACTGTCTTGCCTCCTATCAGCATGCACATTGCACTGCAGCACACCTGATTAGCTTCTTGTGCTGCTTCTTTTTCCCCAATTTGAGCTCTGCTGTGTAAGAGCTGCAAAAGACTGGCACCAGATCAAACTCAGCTACTTACACTCTTTGCATTAAATAAGGCTTATAATTAGGGATGCACCGATACCGATACCAGTATCGGTATCGGTGGCTCGTACTCGCCCAAATGCTCCGATGCCTAGCACGAGTACTTCCTGTATCAGGAAGCCTGGCAGCGCGTCATTACACGCTGCCCGGTTTCCTGATTGGCCCGGGAAGCGGCTCCATGCTCTCTCGTCACTTGTGATGTAATGACACGCTGCCCAGCTTCCTGATTGGTCCGGAAGCTGGCCAATCAGGAAGCCGGGCGCCGTGTAATGACACGCTGCCCGGCATTCCGATTGGCCGGGAAGCTGGCTTCATGCTCCCTCGCCATCTCATTACCAAGAAGCATGCAGCCGGCCTCCCGGCCAATCAGAAAGCAGGGCGTCGCGTCATTACACGGCGCCCGGCTTCCTGATTGGCCTGCCAGACGGGCTCCGGCAGGGTACCGGAGGAAGGCCGCGTTCTGGCTGGAGCGGCCAGTGACAGGCTGGACATACCAAGGTAAGAGGGGACTTTCTTGTTGATCGGGAAGCCGGGTGGTGAGTCTTTACACGCTGCCCGGCTAATCAGGAAGCCAGGTGGCGAGTCAATACACGCCACCTGGCTTCCTGAATGGGACTTCTGTTACTCGGTAATTGGTATCGGCGAGTACCGGAAAAAAATTATCAGTACTCGTAGTCGGTACCAAAATACCAGTATCGGTGCATCCCTAGTAATAATGATGTACTGTATCTATGATTACAATGTTGCGTTCGTTTTGTGTCTTTTATATCTTCCTAGAGATCATCTATAGGACAGCATTTCAGCCACAAGACATTTGAATCGGGAATAAAGTGCATCTCCTAGCAGGAAGTTTATATCCTTCGAAAGAGAAAACAGATTGTCATTATCTTTTCTGTAGAAAAACAATCTCATGAAGGGCCATTAAACACGATTAAAGACGATTTATTTAAAATAGTTTTTAATAATATTCATGAAGAAATGTGTAAAACTCTCAGGATGATATTTTCAGACACAGGGCTAACTGTCTATGAATCCCACAGAGCAGAACGGTGTGTTACTGTATCAGAAGTGTCAGATCACTCGCATTCTGAGGGAGGTATGGACACTTTTTGATACATTCTTCTGAGTATTTTTAGTTGCTCTTGAAGTAGAACTAAAGCCAATTTTTTGTTTTTTTGTTTTGGATAGATTAAGGGAAGGTTATAACCCATCAGCTTTTTTTATTTGCCACGTGTCCCATTGGGTAGATTTCCCTTCACTTCCTGTCTGATAACCACAATGGGAAGTGAGAAGAAATCCTTCCAAAAGAGAGAGAAAGCCCTGGCAGTCACCAATACCCATTGGAAGATTTCCCATCTATTCCTGTGTCGATGACAATTCTAAAATTGGGATTTTCTTTCACTTTCAGGGATAAACCAGCACAAATGGAGAGGGTGAATCTCCCTAACAGGGACACAGATAGCAAAGAAAACACAACAGATGTTCCAATCCCACTCTATATATTAAAAAAAAAGTTTTGGATTCAGTTGCACTTTAAACATCAAGTTTTTGCTTCTTTTTTTTTTTAGGGCTACTGAACCTTTAGGTCAATGTACTGGGCAGAGCTGTACCTATAATAAGGCAGCATCTCTTTAGATCACCTGAGGGGAAGCAGGCAGAGCTGCCCTTCCACGTAAGGGCCATACACATCTACCTGCCCAGCTCTTGGCAACCTGGGACATGCTCGCCGGCATCCCGCCAAGCTCCTGGCAATGTTGTGACCTCACTGATTGCCAGGAGCTGAGTGGGATGCCAGCCAGAGGTGAGTGGTGCACCACCAGCACTCCATCAACTGAAACCCCCCCACCACGGGGACACTCCTGCAACTGAGAATATACTGTATACATATATATTAGTATTAGAGAAATTCTGGAGAATCATTGTGAACTTTCAACTTTAACAGGTTGCCAACGTTCCCCACTGCACTTACATTCCCTTTGGCCACCAGGAACAAAGACCAGAAGCTCCAAATCATGACTGACGGAGCTGAAGACCTTCCCCTGGACCCTGGCTGACAGCAATGAGTGCCTGAGTGGCCAATCACCACGCACCAGCATTGTCACTTGGGAAGAGAGGTAGTGAGACACATGCATTTCCTTTCACTCCCAGTGGCCGAACAGAGTGGGAAGTGAAGGGCAGGTAGGTGGATATGTGCTGCTGTGAAGGGAGGAAGTTAGGTGAACCAGCTGCTTTAGCTTTCACGAACAAAGCACAGGTTCACTTTAAAGGTAACATGTAGCTATGGGTCATAGCGAGGTCTTGGCCATGACTCTCAGCTTTTATGGGTCATACTCAAGACACCTGCACCACACAAACTGACCTTTCGACACCAATAACAGCAGCAATTGTGGGAATTGAACATCGGCAGCCTTAAGCATGCAAGCTGTACCATGCCCATACCAAACTCTAACAGTGCTAATCTGCTGGCACTGAAGGCAACTGATCTAGGGTAGAAACATTCATGAGCACTGTTGATGTAGCAGGAGATGTGGGAGCACCTCAGCAAGGGTAGGCAACCTTGGTGCTGCAGCTGTGCTGAAACTACAAATCCAATCATGATGTGTGTCTCTAGGAGTCATACTTGTGTCTGTCAGAGCCCTGCATTGCCTAATGGAACTTGTAGTTCTACAACAGTTGGAGTGCAGAGGTTGCCTACCCCTGGACTACAGCATAAGCTGAGACACAGCCCGGAAATATGGCAACCAGATTCTCCAAGACAGTGGGTGACTCAAGACATCAGACTCTACCTTTAGCTTACAATTGAGAAGACTGACACAGAGCAGTAAATATTTACTCTTGCTTGGTCCAGTAGGCAGTTTTGATCAACGTTGATATCTCAGTTTAGGGCTAGAAGTGTCCGGCTTTTTACACCTCTTAGGACCTCTTTAGAGAAATGGCAGCAAGTGGACTAAAACTCCATAATAGAGGAAGGCAGTACAGAGGAGATACCACATTTCAGAAGACTGAAGATGTTCATAGACATGAAATAATCCTCCTCTCCATGAAATATCCTCCTCTCCATGTGATTTTGGCCAGACTTAACAAGAGTTCCATATCTACAGCAGGAGCAGACACCCAACTTCCCCCCATTGAGCTCCACAAAATAAGTTGAATTTGGAAGATGTCTGCCTGGACCTCCATCCTTTGACCCCAATCCTTTCAGAATGGGGGCCCACACTGATCAGGGCATGTTTAGAGGCTTCATTTATAAAATGTTCACCCATTGTGTAGCCAGACGGATGCCATTTGCACAGTACTAGTGCCCCTAGGTGGCACTGACATGTATAGGAATTTCAGGTGGACATTTTATACATGAAGCCCTTAGTCATGTCTGCAGTCTGACCATTCTAACTCTGGGTTCACTTCTTTTTTGGTGTTTGGATAGAGTGGAGAATAGTACCAATTTGTTTCTGCATGTGACCCCATTGAAGAGATATTTATCTCACTTCCTGTCCTTGCAAGGCATGTGCAAGCAATTGTGGTCACTTACCTTCCAACTTTATGATGAGAAAGAGGGACAATGTTTAGCACAAATGATACAGGCAGAAGACACACCCTTAGTTTTGGCAGTAGCAGGTCTGTACATCCATACATACAGTCCAAAAGAGGGACAACTGAGAAGGAAAGAGAAACTAAGGCATTTGGTTCCAAAGGAGAGACAGTCCCTCGAAATTAGGGACAGTTGGGAGCTATGGAGTTATGGTTATCACCGGGAAAGGAAAGTACAGACAGCAATAAACACGTTGTCAGAAGTTGTAACTCCTTCTCCACTCAACTACAAAAATGTGCCTTCCTATTGCGTCTTGTTTTCCCATTGGAGAGATTTCCTATCACATCCTGTCCTGGCAGGAAGTGAAATAAAAATTCCCCCAATAGGGTCACAGATGGCAATAAAAAGCTCTATCCATATTGAAATACAAAATTTGGCTGCAGTTGGGCTTATGGCCCATGATGCAATAACGACCCCGTCAAGTTGCCATTGCCAACAGGCTCATTGATCTGACATGGGCTTAAGTCTATGAACAAGAAACCATTAAATATTTCACTCACTCCACTTAATGTCTAAAAATATCCATTTTAGATGGCCTCACCTTTTCACTAATACACAATTTTTGTTTTTTGTGCACATTTTTGTTACATTTATAAAGTCTGGCAGCCACAGAGATGATGACGAAAAACATCAAGTAACAAACAAAGACGGTTTAGGTTTTTTTTGTATTTCCCGGTTTAAATCGTAGTATAACTCCTGCTGTAGTTTGCTATTTTGACTTTTTCAGGAAATATGATTTTGACGTCATTTCCATTCTCTCTGTTTGCTTTCATGTAGAAATCTTTCTTCTTGCGGATCAAGTGGCTGTACTTGGCGTTGGCCATCCACGTTTCACATTTGGAGAAGAAGACAATCCCGGTGGTGATGAGGACGATGAGACAAGTAAGGAGGCCGAGAATGATGAAGCAGATGATTTGACTTCGGTTGAGGAGAGGGTCGTTGTTGTGGATCGTCTCCTTCATGGTGATCTTCAGGACTTCGTGGCCTGGGTGATGGAACCCCTTGTGATGTGGTGGGAAGTTATAGTTGTGCTCGTTGGTGAATAAGCTCTTACTTTTTGAAGGAAGAGCACATGTGGCTCCTGAGTATTCTGGCGGGCAGGAGCATTGGAACCCATCCAGCTTCTCATAGCATGTCCCACCATTGGTACAGGGGTTACTGTTACACCATGAAAGGAGTTCAGAGCAAGATTGACCACCGAACCCAGCTGGACAGTGGCAGCGAAATCCCGGGCCAATGTCTGTGCAGTTTCCGCCATTAACGCAAGGGTTGGGGCTGCAGTCATCCTTGTCTATTTCGCAGTAGTCGCCCGTGAAACCCTCAAGACACTGGCAAGAAGCATGACTGGAAAACCCATTGTTGTCCAAGCATGTCCCTCCATTCTGACATGGAGACCTGTGGTAGAATACAAAAAAAATGTAAGAAAGATTGGGTCACTTTTAAAATAACCTATTCAGTACAAGGCTGAATGCACAGCCCGGGGGAACATTCTTCAGCATGCCTGCTGCTAAATGTATTACCCAGAAAAGCTTTTTCTGAGCTCCTTTATGATTTGGCTTCACATTGTTACTAGGATCTGACTTCGTCTGACTTGATGGCTAAGCCCTGCCAATGACCATTCCAGTGCCCATAAAGACTGTCTCACTGGACAAGGGGAAGGGCATTCCAGTAGCTAATAAAGACTGTGTCATTGGACAAGGGGAAGGGCATTCCAGTAGCTAATAAAGACTGTCTCATTGGACAAGGGGAAGGGCATTCCAGTAGCTAATAAAGACTGTCTCATTGGACACGGGGAAGGGCATTAGTGGAACCATCAAGGCAAGTAAAGTCATGCCTCACTGAGGTGAACTTAAAGCCCAACTGTAGTCTCAACTAGAAAAGAAATTCCATACTCATGTATTTCAGGGTTAGTAAAGTCTAGCCAAAATAAATAATTCCAAGTACTCTAAAGTAGTGGGGATGGAGCACATTGGATTTTTCTGTGTAACCTAGCCAATTTTGGCTGTGCTATGGGACATCATAATATCGAATTGCACACATTGACTATGCTTGACCACATCAAGTCACAAGGAGAAGAAAGGAATTGGCCAAGGTGCCATAACAAAATTGACCTTTCCCAGGGCTTAGGTTCTTGGGTCATGGATGTTATGAAAGATGTGGCCACATATAACCCTCTATATTCAGCAAGTAGGAGGCAGGAATAGGGTGCTAGAGGTCTCATAATCTCAAAGACTCATTGTAGCGAGGACATTGGGCCTTTTTCTAGCTTGAGTATTGAGTTGTTTTCTATATGTTATATAAACATAGCTTAACACTGCTTCAGTGCTGGTTAACGGATTTCAAACCAGCTGATCCAACAGAAATGATGTGACTAAACACCTCGGCTTTTGATTATGTGACCACCACTGGAGGTAGTCTGGAGATGCATTTTTGTCAGGAAAAGTAGGTATTTCACCCCTTTTATTGTTCTTTATTTAATATTCTCAAGAAGATGGTTAACATGGTTTTAAAGTGTATGTATAGCCCAAACCTTTCATTCTAGTTTTGGGTACCGTATGAAGAGATTAGAGCCTCTGTTTTTTTTATTGATATGTCCTCAGTGTTGGAATTGGCTTTCCTTATTTATTCTGGTGACTGTGGTGGGAAATCCAAATCTTTACAGTTGTCACCAGAACAAAGGTGAATGGAAATATTCCATTCTAATTAAAAGCTTGTACAATCTGCCCATCTTGGAAAGGCAGATCGTACTTGCCATCATCTAAAGCCCGCCCCGCTGAGACTCCAATGCCGCACGGGCAGTGTGCGCTTGCGCACACCGGCCCGTTCGGCATTTGTCTCCCGAGAACGGCACTAACAATCGTACGATTCTCGGCGGGTTTTCAAGCCTGCTCGGGAGACAAAACACGTGCGACCGTACAGTAGAAGTGGTCGCACGCCTTCCATACACCTGCCGATTATCATACGATCGCGGGATCACCCACGATTATCGTACGATAATCGGCAGGTGTACGGGCACCTTAATTCCTGTCACTTTGTAGAGATTTCCTTTCACTTCCTGATGCATCTCCTCTCGGGGACAAGAAAAGTAAAAGAACAATCTCCCCACATGGGACAAAGACAGCCCAGAAATAAACAGGCAAAAGTTTTAACCCTTCCCTACTCTATCTAAACCTAAAACAAAGTTTTGAGGTTGCATACGCTATGCTATATTATATTGAATACATATACTATATATACATTTTAATTTTTTACAGTAGATTATGCTTTAACTCCAACCAGCTCTGACACAGATGATAGTCAAGAAGCTCATTACCCATTTGTAATGCAGGGCCCAATTTTAACCAGACAGTTTTTCCCGGTAAAGCCCGGAGCACAGAGGCATATATATCCACCGTCACCGGTTTCAATGCAGGTGGAGTTGCTGGAGCACGGATATGTTGCACACGGGTGGATGTCTGTGGAAATACAAGGCACAGTTTTCATTACTGGTCTGTCTTGCATCTAGTTAATTCTTACAATGAACTTTGCACATACTAAATAAAGGAGCGGGTTCACTTCACCGAGTATCAGGTCCTGGATAGTTGAAAGGAACTTCCCTAACCCTCAGGACCCATTTAAACCCCATCATACCCTTAAAGTATGTGTAAAGTCAAGATATGTAAAACCCAAAACGGCAAAGCTGACGTGTCATATATACAGGTCATGGTTCAGCTAGTAGTAGTTGGTCACGTTCAACTTCTCCAAGCCTCTTCTTCATGCGCTAACCATACCCTTTAAAATGTGCAACAAATGGCTGCAAATGCCCCTATTTTTTCTAGTGGTCACATGACTATCCAACCTGCTCCTTGCCCACCAGCTTTGATGGCGGACAGGGGAATCTGAAAATGTCTTACACGTTCCTGGAGGGATTTAGTCTTTCAGTGTCCAACGGCTATGATTTTCTAAAGCTGCAAAACAATGTCAAGATAGTGCTTCCTTGGAAACATAGCTACCTTAGCTACCTTGAAGCCCAATTGCAGGTTTCATGT